GGCTCTCAGTGCCACGGCGGGTGTGGCACTCAAGCCCATCATCCCCGTATGGGATCATGAATTAACCACAAACTCTAGAAGCTGCGCCAGTGACTGCGTGAGGCTTTGGGGGACACCTAGACACAAACCGTAACAGTCTCCTTTGCCTTAAAAATAATTGTATTTTCTTGATCCCTGCAGTTATTGAATAGAACATGAATAAATTGATTACATCTTTATAGTTTTTATAGCCTTCACCTAGTTGAGCTTGCTGAGTATGTGGTTATTTTCATGTAATTTTTTCAATCAATTTCTTACTATGTAGCTTTTTGAAAAGGTAATCAATTATTATTAGTCAACAAACATAGGAGTTAAAAGTAAATCGTCTCCATCCCTGTACTCTTCATTTATGTGCTTACAAAGCGTTTCATCTCACGTGGCAGCTCTTCCTCCCCTTGCTCGCCTAGAGGAGCGGTCTCCCTTGTAAGGGCTGATTTGCCATCACCACGGGTGCTGGTGCTGTTTAAACTGCCTAGAGTTATTCAGAAAAACTGTGTTAATTTTAAAAGTAAATGATACTATAATAAATAGATTTTTTAAAGTGTGTTAATTGTGGGCTAAGCAGTTTCCGTTTAGGTGCACTTACAATCACATGGCTTCGGGTTCCACCACGTTGTGCTGTCTCGATTCTACTGCCAGCTGATTGTGGTCACTAAAGTTGATGATTGTGACGTTTATCAGCCACCGTTTCGCTCCGTAAATCAGGTCTGCCATGAGTGTCTTGGTGCATTGCAGGAGGCAGGAGTGGCGTTGCTAGTGTAGAGAGCAGTGTGTACGTGTTCAGCTTTGGTTGGTCTTGCAGCCCACTGCCGTGGTTCGTCGCAGTGGCTGCATTCCTGCTCACCCACTCTCTTACAGGCACTTGCAGTGTTTCTGTTTAATTCTGTGTAGGGGCTGGGGAGGCAGCTCGGCAATCTGAGTGCCCGCCAGGCAAGCACAAGAACCTGGGTTTGATCCCCGGTTCTGCATGCCTTGCAGGCCCCCGAGCTGGGCATGGTGGCACGTGTCTCTAATCCCAGCGCTGGAGAGGCTGAGACAGGAGGATCCCTATGAATCTGAGCTGCATAACGAGACCCTCTGCCATGATAAATAAATAGTATTTGTGTGTAGAGCTGCATCTCAGGTGCTGTGTGTCCCTTCTCTGATTCTTACTCTTCTGTGGCTGAGCGATTTTCAGCTTCTTCTCGGCTCCGCAGCTGCTCCCTGTGGCAAAGGACCTGTTCAGTAATGTACACATTTTGTCCAGCATTGGAAGTGTGCTTTTCTCATTGATTTGTTTCGGTGTGTCCTGGGTGTGAAGCCGTTGTTACAGGGATGGTGGAATTCTTGGCGCTGGTGGCTTCTCACTTGCGGAGCATCCTGTGGCACCAGTGTGTCCCCCTAGCGTGCTCAGGTGCAGCCGCGCAGTCGGCCCTCCACACCCCGAGCTCAGCACACACGATGCAGCCGGCTGCAGCTGAAAATGTTAGAAACACAACCTGGTCTGTACTGGAAGTGGGCAGACTTCTTCTGTTGCCATCATTCCTAGCCAGTGTTCACAGGGCCGTAAGCACTGTCGGGGGCCTAGAGAGGGCTGCACCAGCTCTGGTGCTGTTTTATGTGAGCAGCTCGAGTAGCCGAGACCTCTGGCTTTGGGGTGCCCTCAGGTCCTGGAGCCGCCCCATGTGACAGCATCGTCACGCCCCTCACCCAAGCTGAGCAGATGGGTTGACCAACATGGCTTTTAGCCTCCAAAACCCTGAGCTGAGTGGACACTCATCTAACCGTGGTCCAGCCTCAGGTGCTCGTTAGAGAAACAGAGTGAGGCTGTCTTCTTTTCATTCTTTTTCGAGGAGAGTGTTATTTTTAAGATCCTTTCCTGCTCCAAGGTTGCTCTCGTGCATCTGTGGCCCAGGTTTTTGTTTCCCTTCTCTTTGAAGAACATCTAGTATGGTTTCCTGTAAGGCTGGTCTGCTGGAAAAAGAAACAAACAATCAAAAACACTCCCCAGCGATGGCGTGCCCAGTAGTTTCACCTGGTCCAGAGTTCTAGGCAGGTGTGCTGCCCTTCAGTGCGGGTTGCGCCCCACACCTGCCCGTGCGACCAGCCGAGGGTCCGCCCAGATGAGGTGAGCTCAGTCGGCAGGCCACCTGTCCCAGAGGCGGCTTGCCTCTGTCTCTCCAGCAGCCTTGGGTGCCTGGGCCTGTCTCGGGCCTCCTCAGTCGCAGCTGTGTCTCTGCAGCGGCAGGAGTGCGTGTGCATGCCCGGGAACAGGCAGACTATGCGTGGCACTTCTGTGCTCGCATGTCACACCCTTTGGTCACATGCCCCAACCACCCTCACGTGCCTTTGCTGCTGGGTTCTTCAGCTGGATCACATGACTGATTTATCCTTTCTTCACTGATATCTTAGAAGAAAAAATCTTGTCCTTTTGGGTTAACTTTTAAATGATGTTTGAGTGCGGTCCTTCTGATCTACCTGGGGCACCACGGGAATGGCTTACATAATGCATTCATACCTTTTGAGTCTATTTCTGTACATGTACATGGTTGTTTGATGTATTTGAGAAAACAAGGGTTAGTGTCTCCTTTTCCACAATATTTTGATCAGTGTTCAGCCTATATGTAAGCGATGATAACTAGTTTGTATCTATTAACTTGATGCTTTAATTCCACCAGATTGTGTATCTACTGCGTTTCCTCCCATAGGAACTGAAAGTTTTAAGAAATTGCTCTTTGATTTTCACAGTCATTATTACCTGAGGACTTCCGGGGCCTCGTGAGCTGGGTGGTTTACTCACTGTCATGAAGAGTGTAGTCTGGGGTAGATTCACCTGTGGACTCCTGCCTCGATGGCTGCTTCTGTCCTGCCAGGTGCTGTAGCTACAGCTGTGCTCATGAGTCTCCCACGGTTAGCACTGAGCCAGCCTCGCGCTCTTCCTTGCAGGTCATTGAGTATATCCTGCCGCCCTTGGTCGCCTTGGTTCAGAGCCAGAACGGTGAGTGCAGCCGTGCTCCGTGGTCTGTGATTCCTGAGGGCCCCCCACGCCAGCCCCTCTCCTGGGGTCACTGTGCCCTCTTCTCCTCGCAGTGGAATGGCGTCTCTGGAGCCTACGCCTGCTGTCAGAAACCACTTCTCTGCTTGTGAACCTGGCTGCTGGTGACATCGAGGAAGAGGCTGTGGCTGACTCTGAGCGCAGCCTTCTGGGCCTGGTGCGAGACGTCCTGCTGCCCCAGTAAGTACCACGGAGGAGGCATCGTGGTGCGGTCGGTGAGGGTGGATGGGAGGTCTCTGTCACCCAGGCTCAGTGCTGGCGTGCTGCCCTCATGGTGGTACAGTGTGCTTTGTGTTCAGGGTCACAGGGCTGCAGACAGAGGCCAGGGTGTGAGGCTGTGACCATGGCAGAGCCCAGCTGTTGCTGTTGGCGCAGGCCTTGGGGGCTTTGCAGATGTGGGTGTGCCCCACCCAGGCAGCAGACTAGGATTTAAACTCAGTATTGCCGGGATCCTGGGCAGGGAGTTAAGGCTTCCGGCCCTGCCCAGCATGAGAGGTGGAACGAGCGCTTCCCCTTCCTTAAACTCCTCGATTACGAAAGGTGTCTCAGTTACTTTTCTCTCATTGCTGGGACAAAAAAGCTGACGCCCAAAATGAGGGAAGGAAAGGTTTATTTAGCTCACGGTTTGTGGGAGGTTTCAGTCCATACTCAGCCGGCTCCAAGGCAGGTGGCACCTGGCCGAGAGCTGCAGTTCTTGGTGTGGAAAACAGCAAGGGAAGGCGCAGTGGAGAGAGCAGCCCCTCTTCCGTACAGTGCGTTCGGGCTGCCCTCCCCAGGGTGGGTGTCGCACACCCATAATCCCAGCACCGGATTCTGAATTGATGACAGACTCTAGAAGCCCACCCTAGGACTGCATGGGGCTTTGGGAGGACGTCTACTCCCAAACCATAACAAACAGCCTTGTTCTTTGCGGGGATCAGAGTGTAGTTGGAGTAGCCAAGAGTATGGCTCACACTCACCTGGCAAATGGCAACTTCGGAGCACCCAGTGGAAACCCCTGAAACTCCCGAGGGGTGCCTTAGAGTTGAGGGGACACAGGCTTCAGGGAGGGTTACCCAGCCCACGCCTGTGTCGCAGCGGGAGCAGAGCCCGCAGAATGCCGTGCCGGGTCATGTGCCTTGCGCACTGCCAGGCCTGGCCCTGCTCCCTTTGGGCCTGGCTGCAGTCTGCCTCCTGGCAGGCTCTCAGAGTGGCAGCCGCGCCCGTCCTGCCCTGTTGTTCAGCCTGTCGAGATCCGCGCTCAGTTCAGAAGTTGAGGGTCACAGCCCGGAAGCCAGGCGCAGCTGCGTGCTGATTCCGGCCAGTGCTGAGTCTGCACAGCGGTACTGGAAAGCTGGGCCGCGTTGAGAAGACACACAAATGGCCACACTTCCCGTGGCGGGGGCTGCAGCTGCCCTGGAGCTGGCTGTGGAGAAGCCGTTTCCTTCCCACTTCCTTCCTGCTCTTCCCAAGCAGGGTTCTGGGATCCCCGTGATAGGTATGGGTCACAGGGATTCTGCCAGTGCTCAAAGGGAGAAAATGATTTTCTGTGTAGAAAGAAATTTAAGTTTTGTCAAATGGGACTTCTCTAGTGACAGACCGTCAATGTGTTTTCAGTGGCACTTGTTTATGAGTGTATGCGTTACACTTCTGCTGGTCAAATAAAAGATTATAGCCTTTCTAGTGGATTAATGATTTCAGTGCCGCTGTATGCTTCTAAAACTATTTATGTATAATCAGTATCATTCTAACAAGAAGTACCTAAAACTGCAATTTTGGCATAAAATGCGAATCTTGACAGGCGTGGTTTGGGTCTCTGCCATCTAAAACCTTGCGGAGGAGTGTTTTGAGACCTGGGGCGTTTCCCTCCCAGTAGGGACTGGATGTGCTCTGGCAGGGTTCACAGTCCCTCCGTAGCTTGCTGCAGCTCTGAGAGTCCACACTGAGATGTCTTCATATCAGAAGTCCACTGAGCTTTGGAACAGTTTGTGAAATAAAATGTAAATGTGTTAACTCTTAATTCCTTTCTGTGATACTCAGTTGAGCTGAAATAAATATCCATTTCCATTAAGGTGCGTAATTGCCCAGAGATAAGGAATTAAAGGAGAAAATACAGATGTAGGCCACGTGGTGATTAAAGATACAGATGACCGGCTGAGCTCAGGTTTTTATTAGAAAACTTTACATGCACTGTAGAGGCCTCACGGGGCTGGCCAGAGCCCAGGGGGAGGTCCTGGAGCGCGGCCTGCGCGCTGATGTGAGGCAGGTGCTGGCCCGCTTTCCCTGTGTGCAGAACAAGGAGAACGTCCCTGCGTCAGAGGGGCCTGGGGACCCTGCTTGCCAAGCACGCGGCACATGTGGGGCGCAGGGCACCCTGACAGATGCGCGGTTGTCGCGAGGCTCATTACTGTCGTCTCGGCAGTTAGCCTTTCCGGGGGTGGTAATGGTCCAGCACAAGTGGTAGCACACTTCTTAGATATGGAGTGGTCATTATGGTAGGTAATGCGGACTCCGCCTGCCTGGCACGTATAGGAAGGGCTGAATAATACTATGAGACACTTTTATAAGCAGAATATCTATGTCTTTAACTTTTTTTTTTTGGCGGTACCAGAAATTAAAGTTGGGACCTTGTGCTTGCTGGGCAGGTGCTTATGCGCTGAGTTATTTTCCTGGCTTGTTGAAGATTTTTGACTCTGGGAAACTAGGACCTTGGCAAGGAATTTGGAGGTCATTGAAGATGAATTTCTGTAATTATAATTTTTTAAATACTAATAATAGGAAACTTATATTCTCCATTGGGAATATACACATAATAGTTTAAATCTAGGGATTTCTAAAATCCATAGTAGCTCCCTGGAATCCACTTTAGCATGGCAGGTAGATATATAGATGCCGGTACTTTTTTTTATTTTAAAGAGACAAACCCAATAAAAATCAGGCCAGGTAGATAGCTCAACAAACTAAGTGCCTGCTTAGGCAAGCACAGGGGTCGGGGTTTGGTCCCCTGCACCACATGCTGTGCTGGCTCCGTCCCAGGGCGCGCTAAGGGGGCCTCTGAGACCGGGCATGGTGGCACATGCCTGTGATCCCAGTGCCACCGAGGCTGAGAACAGGAGGTCACCATGAGTCCCAGTGAGACCTTGTATGAAGTACATTTTTTAAAAATGTGGAATTTCTAAACAAGATGGTAGGAATTTAACAGCGGTTATTATATCACATATTGTTATCTTCAAAGTAATTGCTCATTTTACTAGGTAGAGGCATGCAACACTGATCGAACAATATAAGGTCTAACTGCGCCTTTCCGGGAAATAATAGAGATTAGTGGTACAATCCCGATTTAGCTGTCTCGTGTATGTATCCGCATCTGTTCCCTGCCCTTCCTTCCTCTTTCTCC